CTATCTAGAATCTGGTCCCGGCCAACTGACACTCCCATGCATTCTAGGTGAACGAGTAGGAGTCGGAAATCTCAGCCGCTGAATTGGTATCAGACCACCTATGACCCTAATATCAATACAGTGTTGTTCTTTGCGGATGCTGGGGTGTGTCAGGGGGAGGGGGTTACGGGATCTCGTGTCGCACCAGCTTGTTCTCCACCAATAGTGGAAGCGGACGAGCCACAACTTTTGGTGGAAAACAGGTTGAGGCCGCGCCAAATCCTGCTCCCTGACCCGCCCCGGCATCCGCAGACAAAAGTATACTTCGGCTGCCACCGGCTGTTGTAGAAAGTTCACTCAAATGGTGTTTCAATTCTGGACGGAACTCGTGTGCAAGGCGCACGCACGCTGAGGGGCTGACCTGGGCTGATTGCTCGTTATACCCTTTGGGACTGAAGCGTCGTACATCCGATAGACCCAATAGTGAACCCTCGTACGTGAGGATCGCGTACTATGAACAGCGCACATCATCCGCTGTGGAAATCTCAACTGACGAGGTCGTATTTGGATGCTGGATAGGGTTTGCGCTCGATGTCGTTAGAGATTTTTCGGATTTTTGGTTTTTTCTATTTCACGCCCGCCGTTTCCCTGAAAAGCGAAATATGTGAGGAAAATTCGGTAAGATTGTCGCAAGTGGCAGAATTTTTCCCCCACGCGGGGATGTGCCCTGAAAAAAAATGGCTCGAAGTCCGCCCGAAGGCGAAAATGTGACCTTTAACATGCCAGTTTTGCAGCAGCTCAACGTTCTGTCTTACACTGAGTTACTGGTAATGATTTTTAGGTACTGAAGCCTATGAATATTGGCATCGACATGAATATAGACACACCTACGAAAGCGACAAATGTGGTGTTGAAAATGTCCCCGATGGAAATTCGAATGGCTCCGTCAATTATTCGCCTTCTGTCGAATGTGAATGCTGAATTCGCAAAGAGCAGTGCAGTGGTATGTCCTGCCCTATCTACGGTAGCTGGAGCAGAAAGAAGAATGCTTCTTTTAGAGTCAGGAAAGCACCGGATCGCTAGAGATGAGGCCACCGTCGTTTTCTAACTACTGGAGAGCAAGGCGTATCGAACAGAAGAAGTACGTTGAATAAGAGATCTGAAGACTTTGAGGCTGCGTTCATACTTTGCGGCAGCGTCCACCAGCGACCACTAGCTTTCCGAGCGTCCGGCAGCGTCAGCGGCTCGGAAAGAATGGATCTCGAGGGGAAGGGAAGTACAGGTATCAATATAGCGAGCAGCGTCCAAGATCATGGCGTGATGGGAGGGTAGCATACAGCCGGTTGAGTTTGGGTAGATAGGAGGGTACCAGCTGTCTGCTATTCCCCTATCCCCCCCCCCCATGCTCCCTCCACACTAGGTCGGCTGGGGAGAGGCGGCGTGAGCGGCGCGGTCGCTAGATGGATATCTATACTTTCCCCTAGTCGAAGCCGCTTGCGCGACGTCGAAAAACGCTAGGGGTAGCTGGTCGACGGTGCCGCGAACTATGAACGCAGCCTGAGGCTTATTTTTCCTTATCGGATTTGTTTACGAACTGTATAGCCGGCATTCTTTCTGGAGCATTGTGCTACACTTCTCGTGGCAAATCCCCTAGAGCCTTCGAGGAGTAAAGATACGACGTCTTCGGGACCTTTTCCCTTTGGGCGGTTCACATTGAGGCGGTTCAAGTTCTTTCCGCGAGTTTTCCGTTGCTCCAATTGAGCGAAGCTACATCAATCAACTTATATCCTTCCCTTCTCATAGGTTCTCCCAATCTCCTGAAGGACGAATATGAAAGTCCGAGGAGGGATCGGAAGATTCTAAGTATGCTATTGTGCTCTCAGGTTCTGGTTCTACAATGTACCAACGGCTGAGGAAGCTTGTGAGGCAGAATGGACGATGATGTGAAATGTCAAAACTGTTCGGGCCCCCGTAGAGCATGCTCACGTGGAAATCGAACGTATCAACTTTACTCTTGAAGCTGGATCTGGAATGGTTAGTTGAAGAGGCGTTCTCTTGTTTTACTCTTCCTCACAGCTTTCCAATGTTTACGTTTTTCCGTCATGCTGCTTGAAGACATGTTTTGCGATGATAGAGTGGGCGGAGACTCATAGCTACTGCAGCTTCCTCATTGGTGCGCTCTCCAATACGTTAAGCGATAGCAGCGCTTTGATGAGAAAGGCAAAGTGAATATGAGTCTCCACTCATCAGCTACCACGGAATAAAGAGTGTCCATATCCCAGAGACTGAGTGGGCGTGGGTCTTGTACTGGACAACGGCATAGTACCGGAGCCCAAAACAGAGAACCCTGTCCAAAAGCATAACCACCAGCTCGTTCGAATGGAGTCCGCAGCCACGACCACTCCATCTCTGGGATATGGCGTGTACACATCTCCGACTTTTCAGGGATACGCATATTTTAAATGCTTTCTGTTTAGATACCTGTGCCGCTGATCTTCATGCAAATGCTGGTCAAAGCTGAAGCATCCGGTTGGTCGTCAGCACTGAAAGCTTCCGCCAATCTGTCCCTACAAATGTCCTACTATAATGAATCGTTGAGGTCAGTAACTCTTTTAGGGGGCACTCCACACCGGTCAAGTGGGCGGAGTCGGGTCCACATTTGTGTCTTGTACACAGGTGCTTCTCTAATTCCTAATTGCGACGGTAGAGAGAAGGGGCCTCCTTCAAAGAAAGTTCAGTGTTAGGCCCGACTCCACCCCTGCGACCTGCGTAAAATGTATCTTTGTACCCTGCTCTTGTCAAGTGCTACCCTTTGCGTGCTCCTATGTTCATTGTTTTCGCAGGCCTGTCTGTCTTTCAGTGTCTGGGAGCCAGTCATTGAACCTGTGGAATGTGGAACGGATAACTGGGCTCCATGGAATCTGACAATGACGGTTTGTTTCTTAGTCTTAGCTGTGCCTGGGACTTCGCAGGCACAGCTTGGGTTGCTTAGAGGTTGCTGCCAGCGTCATTGGTGGAAGGGTTGCGGGAAAGTGTTGGCCTTAGGCAGCGTTCAGACTTCGTGACGGCAGCGCTTCGGTCGCGCGTTCGACGCGATCGATGCGCATGCTTTCGACTGCATTGATCGCGTCGAACGCGCGACCGAAGCGCTGCCGTCGCGAAGTCTGAACGCTGCCGTTACCCCACCCAGCCCTTTCATCAATGGCGTTGGCAGCAACAGCCATCGTGCTCACTGCTTCCAATGTAATGGAGGCGTTTAGGTCAACGGACGAAACAAAAACGATCCGGACAGACCACCAGGCCAGCCATGGATG